ACGCATTAAACTGAACATTACGCCATGTAAACAAGTGTCTCCTAATCCCCAAAAAATCCTATTTGAAGGGTAATTATTCCAAAAGCGTCAATTTTACCTCTAAGGGTTTCATTTGGTATGTTCTCGCTAAGAAATCGCGAAAGGTGATAGCGTAGTACATTAATGACAACACATTATGTGGGCATCACTTTTCATTTCTCTCGCACTGAGGGGATTATTGAGTGATCCGTGGTCGGTATTGATCTCAACTTGATTTCGGCCCTCTTTTGCCTCTTGCAAGTCATCGTTGCAAGTCCTGTTGAACGAGAGTGCGATGAAATAGGTGAATATAGGTTTGCTGAAGGTGAAAATAATGAGTTAGACGCCTATTTAAATAGACATGTCGAACAACGTACCCCAGCACATTGGCATGTCTGTCAAGTGCTACCATATTTAAACTGGTAATTTTTCGAATCTGAACGTTTCCAACATTCAATTGTTGTGTGGATGCAATTGATAAGGAAATCCCTATCAAAACGTCTATCAGCAATTCCATGATAATAAATCTACTACATCACTACTTAAGTACAACTTAAGGACAATTTAAGCTACGGGCTTTTTGAAGCAGATATTGTATAAAAAAAAGAGAAAGATCCGAGTCCCCACCGTAAAAAAAAATAACTTAGGAGTTGCTAGCGATCTATGGTTCCTTACTGATGAGGGACATTAGATAATGAGGTTATCCAGCCTAGCGTCTAACCCTGATGGCCACGGTTCCTGTTTTTCATATTTCGATTACTTTGAAGGTTCTTCTTAGAAGTCCTTTCTTGACTACTTCATTTACGCGTCATGATGAGCATAATTTCGATATGCATCTGGAATAAGGTCATTTCAATGAAAGAAGTCACAGCTGTCGAGTGTGAGAAAATTAGTCATCTCACTCACCACGGTAGACTGATCCATCACTTAGAATCAGTGACATCACCATGGCGTCCTGGCGGATGAGAAGTCTAACGTTTCACGTCCTCGTCTGTGTCGGTATAGAAATTCGACATGAGTGACAGGGCTGAATACATGGTGTACATGGCATTGAATGTGGTGGGACTGTGCAAGCGACATGTACCATCGTGACCTCCTATCCAACCGTACGAGTATTCTTCCCTAGATACTGTAGAACTTCCATGCAGAGCTTCTATCTCGGTCTGCCTGTTTTCCTGGCGTTTCCTTTCTCACACACAAGCCTTTGCTCGTTATCCATCTTCCACACTCCTTAATGGGAAATCGAATCTTAATAAGAGAGTAAATTCGAAAAGCTCACAGTATGCTCATTTTTTTACTCCCCATACGCTCGGAATTTTCTAAGAATGTAGTATGGTATGGTCCCCTTTTTAGAAGATTCTTTATTCTGAGAATCAATATACTAGGTATATAGAATCTTCTCAGTTTAGGCTTTGGAATGGAAACGAGGTCATCAAAACTGGACCATTACGATCACCAATACTAACCAATCATTCAGGATTTTACGCAATCAAACATGGAAATTCTTAATTGAAGCTAGGAAACCCACATGAATGAAGGGAACCCAGCTTGTGGTACTAGGAGGCAGTAAGTTGTTTCCAGATTACGAAAACGCAGAGCTTCCATAGAGATGCATCTTCGGAAGAAAAAAAGAGTTGAAGAGCCCACACTCAGAGCCTCCCCTGGCTCATCTCATCCCATTCCTCTCTTTTGGCTGCCTTCGTTCACTCTTCGTTCACTCGCGAAATCCAAACATCCATCTATGCAATTGTCATGAGGATTATTCTTTTTTTTCCCGATTTCGGTTTCGATGAAGCACAGAAAAAAAAAGAAACACACAGAAGGGAAAACTGCTTAATTTACATCAATGAAGCGGTTGCTTCAGCGAATTCATTTATTTCTTTACCTAAGTTTACCTAACCTGCTTTCATTAATAAGCAATTCACGATGCGGTTGATATACGTTCGTACTTGCTGTTCGTCGTCTAGTTCAACCCTATTTCCTATTATGGGCATTTTACCCCTACTTATGCGCATACCGCATTTTATGTTCATGCAACAAGAACTCTTCATGGTGTCATCTTGAATTCGTATATTTGTATTCAGTCATAATATTGGTGATGGAGGCGAAGGAGGCGGAGTTGGAGGCTTCCTAAGAGTAAAACCTCGAGTTGAATAATGCTTCTTCCTGGGTGAGTCTCATCGCTGCAGTTGAATCTAAACCAATAACTTCTGTCACAAGCCTTGAAAAGTGTTCGCTTAAATGTCCTGGAATGGGACTCCTTGATGAGGAACCAATGGCTTGATCTGTATATATGTCCTTGGCTTCAAAAACATTTGATTTGTAGTTTTGCCATTGGAAATGATAATTGGCATATGATCCAAAAATGTAATCACGGGACACTTTATGCAATTATTGCACTGAATTTTCCCAATGTTTCAGAGGGATCCGCTGCTCCATAACGTGGCTAGTGCTTTCCTATATGTTCTGGACTGGATCGTCCTCGAACATCGTCGTGTATCATGCCGTGCACTATGGGCAACGATATGGGAACGTATCCCGGCAGTTCAAAGCGGATGACATTGGGCAATGCAACATGGAATGTTCGAACGATAACTCCTCCCGGCCTTGCTTTGCTTTCAACTTCAGAGAAAAGGATGGATTCTGCCAGCTCATTCACAACGAGAGGAGCCATCTCGTTCCCTCAGAGGAGTACTTAGCATTTGCTCGATGTGAGTCGAACACTGTATGAGAGTATGATGAAAGGAATAACACATATCATGAAATACTCCTTTTTGTGAATGAATATAGCATCCATGACTTGTTTATAGACTTCCGTCGTACAAATATTGAAATTCATATTGTTCCGAGGGTTCCATTAGCTACTTCTGGCACCATTTTTCGCGACCGTTTGAAACTGATAAAAACATGTTGCCGCTGAGTTTCACACGAACTGAATAATGCCAAGAGAAAGTGCACTCCATTCGCGTTTTTATGAGTTTATGCAGAAATTGTTTGATGAAAGAAGCCATTGAAGAGTCGAAATGCCAAATGGTAAGCCATACAGTTATATGTGTCACAAAGATGTGCCAATTTGGCATCAAAAGGAATTTGATTCGTTGGATATGGGCATAAACCAATGCGAATGAAGCATCCTTTCTCGGCTCCAAACTCGGTTTTTCAGCCTCTGCAATGCCCCTTGGTTTCATTTGAAGATAATACAAATTGCAACTGTCTTCGTTACTTATTTGAATCCCGCAAACTGCATGAACTTACGATGCATTCATCGAACATCACCACAGTGCTGAAAAGCAACTTTTTGGAGTGGACTCTTCTGTGAGAGAAAGTGCCCTATGGCACATTCAAATGAGGGCTGCATTTTCGTTGGTTCGTCGTCGGGCCATATGTGAGGAAATTGGTTTATTGTTGGGCCATAACTGCGGAAATTAGCTAATTTTCGGCGAATGATTAGCCAACCAACTCCCAGCGGCCAATCGTTCGCCGAAGATGAGCTAGTGTGGCTGAGAAGGTTCCGAAAACCGGCGTGAGATGGAGTCAAAGTGGTCGTAATAGGGAGTCACTTCCTGAATTCAACTTAAATTAGTTCCCTGTCCTTTTGACACAGTTCCATACGGTTTCTTACATAGCACTTAGATGAAGAAAATTGAAAACTTTAAAGCATATCACTGAAGATGTCTCCTGGCTATTAAATAAACCAGGCAATTACGGCCCGGTGGTTCGTTGAAGGATCTTTCTACGCGACCTATTTTCCTTACTCGTAGACATTGGAAAGCGTCTTACTTGTAAGGCATGGATGAACACCTGCGGGAGGCCAGATATCCTTTAGATACTTCCCATGCGATTCTGGAAGGTGTGTTGCATGTGATACTCTTGGTGGTGGTAGTGTTCCCGTTTGAGGAACTTTGTTAAGCTAAGTAAACAATTTTTCGCTGTGCCATCGATAGGTTTTCACCGATGCACAAATAAGCCTTAGTTGGGCCATCATTGCTATATGGTTGGGTCACGTTTGGTTTAAGCCGGCTTATATTCGGGCATGTCCTGTTGGCACTTCAATGGGCCAACTTTGGCTTATTGTTGGGAAAGCACACATGCGCCAACCATCGATCGACTTTTCACAATGGTGAAAAGGTGTAGGAAAATAACCGAAAGAAAAATTGCATTCACAGCTTCATGTACCTTGGAGCGATGTGATTTCATCTCTTGACCTCTTAATGCTCCTTCATCTGGTTAAGATGAATGCGCAGAGCCTTACCGAAGTACCTTACACAGGTACACTCCTACTGCTAAAAACATCACAAGCAACGCCCCTTCTGGATGCTGAGTCATCCAGGTGCGGAATCACATGGTAATGCAAAGGCGTCATTCGTCCCACAGACGCTTAGACACCCCTCTCACGTAATTCAACATGGAAGGTAGTAAATGTAAACGAAGATGATATAGTCCCGTGGCCGATTGTAAAAAGCAGAAGGATCCTCCCACGGACCTCCGGGCCGGACATTCCCGGTTTATTTCAGAGCAAGGTTACACCTTCAGAGAAATGTTAAAAGTAATTCGATTGTCTTCCTCTGAGATCTATGTGAGAAGCCATAGGGAACCGCGTCAAAGGTACAGGGACTCATCTCAGTGGTATCCGGGAAGTGACTCCCCATTACGAGCATATTGACTCCTTCTCACGCCGGTTTTCGGAACCTTTTCAGCCACATTGACCTATCCTCGGCGAAAGATTGACCGGCCAACTCAAAAGTAACTCAAGTGTGAGTTGACCTGCCAATCATTTGCCGAAAATGGGCCTGCTCCCCCAGCTATGGCCAGAAGATAAACAAACGAAAATTTTTGACTGGAAGATACTGCTTCTTAATTTCGGATGAAGGAGCAATATGGGGTTAAATAATGCATAATGCTGTATTATGCATAACGCGGTTTACCTGTTTTTTTGTCCTATACCTTTTCACCATTGTGAAAAGTCGACTTATGGTTGGGGCATGTACGGTCATGCCAATAACGAGCGGAAGTTATCCCGATGAAAGGCTAAAAAGACATGCCTGACCATAAACCGGCTTAAACCAACCATATGCCAGTGATGCCCAACTAAGGCTTACTTACGCGTCGGTGGAAAGCCATCGATGCACATTTAAATTTTTTTGCTGGGATTGAGCAATTGTTCTGAGTGGAACCATATCTTCCGGAAAGGATTTTGAGTGACACCTTCCGTTAAGGTGCTACGTGAAACCTTCCTAAAAAGTTCTTTATAGAAGGAATAAATGGTTCAAAATGGTTAAAAGGAAGTTCAATTCTATTGATAGAACCTATAAACAGTTCCTGGGAGCAACATTTTTTAATTGTATATAAGTGTCACTGAGAATAATAATAGCTTAGAATAGCTTTTCGCTTTGGGTAGTGTCTGAGACTGGAAACTAGCTAAGTTCAGACCGATCTTTGTGCCACTAAAGACCTTGCCCGTCCTTATGAATTCATGCTTTTTCATTTTAATGAAATACGTGACTAATGCTATTGTTATAGACCTTTCTCGCATCTTTTTCCAAAATACAGCCCTGTGCCTGACGGACTATCCGAGGATCGAGAACGCGGAGGAATCCGTAGACGGATGGAGGTATCCTGCCCCACCGGGGGGAAAAGTGATATTCACCTGCAGGCACCCGAGAGGGTTTAGCAATGGGTTCAAAGAGCACAAGGCAAAATGTTCATCCGTGACTGCTGATGCCTGGTGCACAACTTTCACTCAGAGCGAAAAATATCTCTGTCCTCATCCACGTGAGCATACCTTGGCTTAATTCCTTTCGCATGCAATGAGAAGACGGGGGAATAATTTCATTTGAAAGGATTTTAGAGTTCTTAAACTTTCTTTAACATTTTACAATTCTACTTTCCCACCCTGCTCTGAACAGATGGGATGGCGAGATATTATTGAGAAGTCACATATACGAATATATGATACGGGTAGCATGCATGTCCTCGAATCACAAGCAGTCTGACCTTTTCCCCGTAATTCTAATGTTTGTATGGCATCGAAACTGACCCAATCAGTAAAATAGATTCCCCTAGTGATCATTTGATGACCCTGTGCTATATGATGGTCAAGACTCCTAAGAAGCACATGATGTCCAGGCAACGTTCCTGAAACGTGATTTTGTGACCACAGTAATGACATAAATACGTCATAATGGATGTCCCAGCCATATCCCCAAGTCCCAAAATGTATGTATTGCTGTGACGTTTAAAAAATGTCGTTTTCAGGTTTGACATGTCCTGAACGGGATGTCTCAAAAACCGAAGTTGATTTGATTTTGGTATCTGTTGCGGCATGGTACGGCTAGTGCTAATCAATATAGAAATAAATAATCTGGAACATCATAATAAATTATTACTTGATATGACAAGGGACAAAAAAATCATCCGCATAAGAAATACTAAGAACAATACAAAGATGGTAAAGGTCTTGCATGAATGAAGCCCAATTTCATTATGTTGGGGCATTCCGCAGTGTCGTGCGTGACCGAACACCCTAAGATAGAGAACGTGAGCTGGACCTATGACAGATGGGACGGGAAATACCCAGCACCTCCTGGTGCCACCATCATCTATACCTGTCACCAAAACTCAAGGTTCACGGATGGATCACTGAAACATAATGCCACCTGCTCCTTCCTACCTGATGACGCTTGGGACACCTCCTTTCACGGAAATAATGTTCGATGCCGAGGTGAGCCACTGCGCTCTCGAATATTTCTTCACTTGAATTACACTTTCTCCATATATCCACGCGATTTGAATGGGAGTTCAAATGGGAGATTTCATCCCCTCGAGTCATGAAGGAATTCCAGTTTTTGATTACTTCGATCAATGTGATGCTGTGAATCTAAGGCGAAGATGCGCGGTAGTTACAGGAGGGCCTCAAATGTTATCGGGGGGGGGGGAATAATTTCGTGCTTCTTAGGGCTTCAAAAAGTTTGTGAAAATTGATTCCCGGTCATGTTATCATTAGATTAGACAATGAACTTTCAACATACGAGGGGTGATAAAAAAATTTCCGGATGTGAATTTTTCTTGACGTTGTGGTGCCTCTTTCTGACTACTGATGGGTATATATTCTTCATAGTAATCCTCTTCGGCATCTGCACAAATTTTTCAAAGTTTCTTCAGCCACTGGAATCATTGCTCACACTTGACTTTTTGGAATCACCGCCAGCGCCCGTGGCGCGTTCATAGCGCTACTCCAAATACTCTGAAATTTCCTTAATATTTCAGTTTCAGCGGCTTCTACCTTACGTTTGTTCTACCCACCAATTCCCTGGCATCATAAGCTATCTAACGCATCGACCCAAGCAGCATGTTCACGTAAACAAGATATCACTTTTTTGCAAACAATGTAAATTTCTTGCGATTGCCATTGCAAGAACGTGACTGGTGAAGCACTCAGCTCAAATGTCAAATTTCCAAAATATTTTTAGTGGGCATATTTCTTGGGGACGTAACGTTTTAAAGAATTTTTAATGTCCTAGCGAATCGTGCAGAAATGGAAAAATAGCAGCTATCGCATGCATAACGGACGTGATGCTGACTTAAGAAAAAATTAAACTTTTGCTGAGCGTTTCCCCAGAGCACAGCTTTTGAATGGGTTGCTTTTCCAAATAGATTTTTTATCGTCAGCAAAAAGGGGAAGCGTATGAGGCTGAAACTGGGTGGCATGGAGTTCCATGAGTCTACATTTCAAAATAATATTAAAAATTCGTTAACGCCATTAGTGGACTTTTTTCAGTCCCATTTTCTTGCTTTTTTTTGATCCAACGAAACAGAGCCAGGAAATTTAAACTTCCCTCAGAAGTTCACCATGAAACATTTACTCTGTTTGATGGCTGAGTAGAGGAGAAATCCTAATTTTGAAAAATGTATCCACAGCATAGATTATTGGAGGGAAGTTTTTCAAAATGTATTCTCCACCCTTTCAAAAAAGGACACAAGAAAAGATTTAAAGTTAGGCACACAGAATCATAGAGGTAATGAGTTTGATGAAAAAATCAAGACATTCGACCCTATATGTCACATGTGTCAGTGGGGACATACTTTGAATAAGTGTGTCCCATTTCGCGAAAAATGAATAAATTAATCACTATGCAAGGTAAGGAAGCGCCGAAGGCGCGACCATAGCGAGTTTGTTTGCCCTTCGGCGTTTGTTTGAGCGATCATATATATATATATATATATTGAGTAAGTTATTAATTGCTCGAGATTGCTGGAGGAAATTGAAAAGCTGAGAATTGCTTCCAACCTCGACCGAATTACTTCATGCTGCGACATTAATGCAACATACAGGGCTAGTCAAAATGATTGCAGCGGTTTCAGAAAATTACTACAGGTTTATTATTTGACATATACTTACAAGATTGCGCAGGTATATAAACAAATAGTGAAAGTTTTTTTTTAGTGTTTACAGATGCCCAATATGTGCACCTTTAGTGACTCTGCACACATCAACTCTATGATCGAGTTCTTCCCATACTCGATGCAGCATGGCTCTGTCAATGCGAGTAAACGCATTGGTAATGCGAACCCGCAGGTCTGGCTGATCAACTGGTACTGGTGGCACGAACACTGAGCCCTTTACGAAACCCCAAACAAAGAAGTCGCAGGGGGTTAAGTCAGGGGAGCGAGGAGCCCATGACATCAACTGAAGATCAGCACAACGACGTTCCCAACACGACCAATCCATCTGTTTGGAATCCTGGTGTTTAGGAAATTACGGACTCAGTGTTCGTGCCACCAGTACCAGTTGATCTGCCAGACCTGCGGGTTCGCATCACCAATGCGTTTGCTCGCATTGACAGAGCCATGCTGCATCGAGTATGGGAAGAACTCGATTATAGAGTTGATGTGTGCAGAGTCACTAAAGGTGCACATATTGAGCATCTGTAAACACTAAAAAAAACTTTCACTATTTGTTTATATATCTGTGCAATCTTGTAAGTATGTCAAATAATAAACCTGTAGTAATTTTCTGAAACCGCTGCAATCATTTTGACTAGCCCTGTATTTAAAGTATTCAATACAAATTTGCAAACATGACGCGAGCACTGCTGCTAATTTCAAAAGATTAGTGTCAGCAATGTTTCCAGCGGCTTAAGAAACACCTGAAAATTCCTTTAGTCGTCAAAGGTGACTGCAGTAGTTTAAAGAATATTACCATCAGTAGTTGGAAAGAGTCACGACAACGTCATAGAAAAATTTTGTCCCGGAAATTTTTATTCATCACCGCTCGTATTTCACTTTGCTTACATGGAAGGGATTTTTGTCCACCCCCCTAAACTTCTAAGCTATCACTGGCAATACTTGAAGTTTTAAGAAGTTCCAGTACCATCGAATCCATAAAAATGGAACATCGATTACCCATAGTCATATGTTTAAGGAATTCATTTGAATTCGTCACCTTTCAATGTGAAAAGAATTCGGAAAGCAATTTAGATTTAGGAAAGCAATTTCCTATTTCACATTTTAAACTCGCATCTCTTGGAATTTTGATCTAATCCAGTAAAAAAAAAAAGTGGTCTCATTCTGGAGGTCTATGGATGAGGTTTATAAAGTTGGGAGAAGAAAAATAAACTAATTTGAATATTTATGACGACATGATTATAGGATAACTTACTACAAAGATGAGAAATAAGGGAATCCGCCCTTATCATCCGAGTCAAACAAGTCAATCAAAGTACTATCTTCCAAATTGTAATAGTGCTTATAATACCATCATCCCCTAGAACGATAAGAAGTTCTTCGCAACAATACCTTTTGCTGTTATGACACCCCCGTATGAAGTACATCAAGTGATATCAGCAAAATCTGCTACCTGAATTTGGCTTCATTTTATTGGTGTACCACATATGATCTCATTCCCGATGCAGTTCCCATCAAAATCCAATTACTAAACCGGAATCTGATGCATGTCTATTATCTTAATCTATGATTTTTCTAAAACACCCGGAGAGATCGTGTGTCTGTTCTCAGATGAGATAGTTTATCCCGAATGCCAACTGACGGAGATGGGGAAAGAATACGTAGGCACCGTAAACGTGACCAAGAGTGGAAGTGTCTGCCTGAGATGGGATTCCCCTACCGTGGAATCGTCGTTCCGGAAAGTCGGAGAAGGATTCGATCCAAATATGTTCTACGATGAGCATTTTCTGTACCAGGACTCGTCCTTGCATAAGAACTTCTGCCGGAACCCGACTTTGAACACGGGACCCTGGTGTTTCATCGAGAGGGGTGGCTTGACATGGGAGACGTGCTCGATTCCATTCTGTGATGACCGGAGTGAGTCAAAATAACCTAATAAGGAGCATATCTTAATTTTCCCAGGGAATAAGCTCATGCTTGATTCACACCATGATATTTAAATCAGCATGCATTATAAACGTGTCCCCATCGACTATTTTCGGCAATAGCACCAGTCCAGAAAAAAAGTTTCGTTTTCCTCCTGACTTGTATAGTTCCTTGGATAGGAATGAATAGTTTAATTCATGAAAATGAGTTGCCAAACTTGGCGATTTCAGCAAGCACTTCCAAACGGTAGGGGTAAAATATGAAATCGGCCTGTGTTGCAAAACGTTTGACTTTATATGGGTTCGTGAGTTGCAGAGGTTATGAGCGGAGAGTTCCAGGACGCTCGATATCGTCATTTAACACATTCATCCAATGTTTCAGGGAAGTCGAAACTGCATAAAATCCCACCATCCCACATGTACTAAAATCACTTTTTATTTTTTGTTCATTGTTTTAAGTGTCACATTTTCAGACCGGAAGGGTTATCATATTTCAATATTATATACCACATCCTCATCTGGCTAGGTTAACCTTCAAATAGCTAGTGTTTCTTTCGTTTCGGGACATTTGAGAAATACCCTTCATCACTAAATACAGGCAAGGCGGTGTGCATGGATTCACATAAGAAAATCTTTTCTTTGGCGACCTCACTCACTATTTGCCGAACTTTGGAAACCCTCGATGGATTTCTTTCTCACGTTAACCCGCTGGAAGAGGCGACAGTTCATCAGCAACTCTGGAACTGCTCGAGCTCTGCTCGCATCAGTGGCCTTCACTGTCATGTCTTGTTCATTGGTGTTTAGCATCCTACCATGTATTCTCACTCTCTCGCCCGACCGCCACACATAATTATTTCCAGAATTCCTAAACCCTTTGGGGCGGACATTCCAGCCCATTTGCTTTCATTTTAGTTCGCCCCTTTACCTTATTATTATTAAAGTAATTTCGTTAATAACTCCGATGGTACTTCCTCCTCAAATTCTATCACGTACATGAGCAAAAAGCTCCCTTTCTTCGACTTTTCAACGCTCTCCATCTAAGTGTGAAGTGAGAATTTCAATCAAGTTTCCTTTTTTTCATCTCATGGGAAGCAAGTTTGAAGTGTGGGGCAGTATGTCATTACTGCTGATAAAGGAATGGGAAAAATCACATATTGGTATCAGAACTGGAGGGAATAGGAGAATATGATCATTTCCTTGCCTACATATCTACATTAAGCTAAATTTTCTTCCTGATGTGTAAATTATTCATGAGATTCAAATATCGTGTTCATCTAACAAGTAAGTTCTGTATAGTATCGGTTTCTACTTTCAGGAGCACCAGAATGCAAGGTGACACAGATGGGAGCGGAATACATTGGTGCAAGGAACAGGACACTTTCAGGTTCTCCATGTTTGTCATGGTTATCTATGAACAGCGTGAAGGAGGGGGCATTATTTGCAAAGTGGAAACAGACATTCCCTGATTCCATCACGACTGACCACAACTACTGTCGAAATCCGGATGGGAAAATGGGTGGTCCCTGGTGCACAGTTTCGGATGCCGAAAGTTCAGAGGAGTCATGGGGATACTGCGATGTGCGGGTTTGTGAAATGGAGAAAAAGGAGACAACATGCGAGATGGAAGGTAGTTGCCAGCCGAGTGAGTCATACGACTCATAAGCAATGGCGTTTCTTGCGAGTAGCATTGGGGGAGGGGGAGCACCATCCCTAGGCAGCACAAATTAGTGTTTCCTATCTCTCTTTCTGGTACACGATAACAACTCGCTTGGCAGTTGGAATCTCATTATCATATCATCATATTCATGACCTTCAGTAGATCCTTTGGGTGCACATTGAAATAACTCCTGCAAGGTGTCAATTATTAACAATTGAGTTGTAATTTTGCCAGTCGCACCAAAGACTTTCCCTATGGTCTATATAATAAGAGAAGTAAAAAATACTTGTTTTAAAATGGAAGGTTTCGGACTGAGAACTTTTCTATACCCCTAGCATTGTAAAGAGAACGCTATGGTTTGAAAGTTAACTCAGGATCAGTATAGGGATCCATAATCCTTAATTATGAGATCCTACAGATGAAGAACGTTGAAATGTGGCTGTGAATCATAAAAAATTCTCAGTTTTCTCTCTCTTAATTACTATACGACTTATATGACATTTTACTCGCCAGGACATTTTGCAGATGGTTCCCAATAACCTGAAGTGATACATGACTTGATATTATCCCCATTACTACTCATGTAAAATTTCCTAGCTAACAACAAACAATACTGCCAGTTGTAGAAAATACAGCACAATATATAAATTGTGTTCTGATAGTGTCACATTTCCGTAATTTCCTTCAGTGAAATAATGCATTTCTACCACAAGGCGCCCTAAAAAAAAACCCTCCAATCAAGATTTTCCGGAAAATTACTCAGAAATAATATTTAAAAAGAACTTTCCATTTATTGACACAACTACAATTCACTGAAGGAATATATATCGTATTAATTAATCACTAATTTGATATTTTTTTACAGAATTCTCTGACTAATTGGAAAAATAATTAGAAACTGATCACGTGTCCAATCCAGTGACAATACTTCCGAATTGGCGGTTATATTGGGCCACCCCATTCCTACAACGCATGCTCTGTCCATTGAAACCTTCATGCAGATGGAGTCGAAGTTTCACGCGCATATCCGGAATGCAGAATGACGACAATGGGGAAGGAATACAGAGGAACCCAAAGCGTAACAGGATCTGGAAAGATTTGTCGTCGTTGGAGAGACGTGTATCTCGAGAAACATGAAACATCTATCTTAATGGATGTCATTTTCTCCAATGTCCCCAAACACAAGCGCATGGACATGTATCAGAAACGCTTTTCTGAAATATATACTATCATCCAGAGTCAGGATCAGAACTATTGTCGGAATCCTTCTTGGGCAGAACGACCATGGTGCTTCGCACTTAATCGGATTCTTTTCTGGGAATACTGCGACGTTCCGATGTGCCACCATCCAAAGGGTTTGCTCATTTTCGTCCTTACATTATATCATGCAAATGCGGTCTTTCGGACTTTCAATAACGCAAATGACATTTGAATCTTAGCTGATCTCATAACTCAGGACAAATGTGTTTCCTACAACGAAAAAAGATTATGCAAACACTAGCACAGAGGCGACAACAGTCTTGAATTTGATATAAAACCAAACTCGGTGTTTCACACAAAACCAGAGCATATAACCTAAAGTTTTCTGAAGCGATTCTGCTTTGATGAGGGTAGAAGTGTGCTAAATCCCGTTCCTCTAGTAACTCTTAGAGAGCAATCCGGTGAGTGGAGTTATGTGACGGGAAGGCGTTGATGAAAGGGAGTAGGCGCCCCCATTGACTAGTTTTTTGTTACGGGCAAATGTTAAATTATGAATATGTTTCTGAAACTCTCTGAAAATTAACACATTGTTGCTTTCCTTTAGAACCCATGGAGTGCAAACTGACGAATGTTGGAGACGAATATATCGGTGTTATGAATGTGGTGGCAAATGTTGAGATCGGCCCGAAGAAGTGCCAATCATGGTTGAGTCAGGCAACCGACGAAGATGTCACAATGCCGAGTCTGGAGACATTCCCTGACCCAGCCATAGACAGTGGTCACAACTACTGTCGTAATCCGAACCGAGATCCCAATGGTCCATGGTGCTACACAGAATATGCTACTGGCAGTGGGCGGCAATATTGCGAAGTCCCTTTTTGTTTCGAAGCATATGAACGTTCTGCTGTCGACGGTATGATGTGGAATGGCTTAATTTTATGATTTTCCTGTGTAAACGCTTCAGGATAAACAAATTGCTTAATGCAAAAGTAACATGATTTTAAGGATGGGGTCCAATTGCCTTGCGCCCTTTAATCTCTTGAAAAACTATTCACTAGTAGTCCTGAAGTTCCTCATGCTTCCGCAATATATTCCTGAAGTGATTAGGAGAGTTATGTGTGTGAAATATGACAGGTAACCCAGCGAAAGAATACCCAGAATGTCTCCAAACGGAAATTGGGAAGGAATACGTGGGGACGGTGAGGAAGACGAGGACCGGGAAGTCTTGTCTCAAGTGGAGTTCCATGAATTCGTCTTTCGAATTCTTTAGAGACCTCCTGGACTTTGATCGGAAAATTGCTTATGATGGTCATTTCCGATTTGGGAAGGCTGCATTACATCAGGACTTCTGCAGGAACCCGACTTTGAAGGAGCGACCATGGTGTTTCGTGAATATTTCGGGAGAATGGGATTATTGCGACATCCCCTACTGCCCCACCTACTCAAGTGAGATTAATCCAGCCAGAGGTAGCTAACCAATGAGGTACTAAATAGGTCGCCACACATTTGAAATCAAGTGATGCCCAAACAGGTACCATTAGTCTTCAAAATAGCTTATATAGAGAAGATAAGTTAACTGAAACTGGATGTGGATGTGATAGAATATGACTATTGTGGAAGCTTCAGAAACGTAAAAGGAATTGTATTTTCTTTTAAATGTACATCAAAGTCTAACAGGTTCTGAATGTGGAAGCAGGAAAATGATATACTGTAAGGATTCACATGGTGCCAAGGAAAACCAATCGTTACATTGCTGGTTTCCGAATGAATTAAAACTGGATTTTCTCCAACTGTGATGATACTTATCACATTCATCGCCAAAAGAATTTCGCACCAAGTAGTTCAGCGATCATTATGATATTTAGTAAACTCGCTCGTATTAGTGTGGCATGAAATTTATGCAGGTTTCAAGGTCGTAGGTTGAATATTCGCAGATAAAACTTGCCTAACACTCCAACTTAAATGGGGTCGGAGGGGTAGTACTTATTGCCAACCACTGTCATCCACATTCTAGGAGTTCATGAATTTCATTGCGAAACAGTAAGTTATCTTCTACTGATTTTTAGTACATTGGCAAACAGTTTCAAGGTCATAGAATGAAGCGATGCACGGAAAACTCGTGCTGAACCACTTACCGTCGGGCCGTTCAAAATGTATTTCTACTGAAATTGTTTATTACACTAGCTTCTTCCATTTCCAGACAAGACGGAATGCAGATGGACACAGGAGGGAGAGGAATACGCGGGAACTCGCAATGTGACGTTTTCCGGGAGTATATGCCTGTCGTGGAGTGCCTCCAAATTATATAAACGTTATTGGCCAAGATTCCCAGAGGACGTGAAGAAAATCAATCACAACTTCTGTCGCAATCCAAATGGCACAACGGTGCCCTTTTGTTTTGTTGCTCCTGACAAGACTGAAGCCTGCGATATCCCATTTTGCCCTTTCCGTTACCTCCACTGAAATAATATCGTAGCTAATGCCAGGAGTGAAGAAATGGATGTTTTACTGCTTCAGTTTCTTGTATTACATTTTCCTCGATAGAATTAAGCATTCCTGTATCTGGCAGAAATACTGCAATAAGCTAAGTCTGAACATCTGACTACTTCCTCATTCATAGTCATGTCAATTTCGCTGTATTCTTTTTTTCATTACCATGCATTGGGATTTATCAAGGGGTCTTTCTTCACGAGCTAGTTTTAGAGTCACGACACTCCATATCTACACCGGGGGAAAAATAAGGTGAAGTAGAAGAGAAAAAAGTGTAAAAGTGAATTGTATTGCTGTTGTATTGTGACATGTTTATGATGTGCTCATTGCATATATCTCAGTTATTAAACCATCGTGGGCAACATGTGGCATCTTCGTTATTTCAGTTTTTAAATGAAAAATGCTTTTTTCCAGCTTACGGGAGAAAATTTTCAAACATCCTTCAAGAAAACGTTCCCGAAGGAGCATCACCAAAAGAGCAGATCTTACCCGTCTTAAGCACCTTGATGAAGAGTTCTTCATTTAATGTAAGCTTTCTCGCATACTTCACTATTTCGCTTGAACTAAGAAGTTTCAGGAGAAACACTCCTCCCCGAAAAATGGATGAAGGGAGGATTACTCCTGAGCTCACTACTCCTACAGCTACTTGTGCTCGATATGTCAGCTTTCAATGGATCTAAGACAGAAGTATAATCATCGTCATTCAGTCCGATACTCACCCACCAGCGCACACATAATATTCCACATCTTCGAAGTAGTCCTTAGATTCAGGTCGATGAAATTTTGCAACTAACTTTCTTCCATACCGAGTAAAAAGATGTGTGGAACTTATTGAACAATAATGAATGTATCCGAATTTTTGCAACAATACCCACAGGAGAGGAAAAATGCAGCAAAACGAATGAAATCGTTCAACATGTAATTCATCTCTGGATCCCAACATCTGGAGAACAATGCAGTTCACGCCAACAAGGTCTCAAAAAGGAAAATAGTAACTTGTTTCCCTAGTATCCAATGATATCCTTCGGGCCATGGGCGCATGGATGACGAAAAAGGGAGGTACATTCTGACCCAGGTGTCCCAGGCTAGTGCACCCATGGATCTTGCCAGTTCATCCATAATTTAGCTAGAATATTAAAGCCCCATACTTGTACTTCCGTTTTTGACATCTGCCAGAGAGTATACTTGAATTATAATGTAATACGCTGTTCTCCAGTATTACTTGCGTGTTACACAGAGCAAAACGACGGTGTAGGAAAACAACTCTATTATTTAGCCTTCTCCTTCAGTTTTTCATTACATTTGTATGAAACACACATCGGCCATTCTACATACACAGTGCTGAAAGAATTTAAGCACACGGTGTTTAAAATTTTCGAGAATAATGAAAGCTAATTTCATTAGATTGATGAATTCTTTTTAAGCTGCATATGAATAGAGTAGACAAGGAAATAATAAAAAACTTAATCTTATGGAGATTGAGGCATTGTAACAAATTCTATGCCAGCTCAACTTTGATAGGTAAAAAAGAGTGCCGTACAATCCCGCTTATGCGATCGCCTCAGCCAATGAAGCAAAGGAAAGTTTTTGCGTGTCTTATCAGAGATGCAGAGGTCTTGTTGTTCTCCCTTCGTCACCTAATTTGATAACGAAATATTCGCCAGTTCAAAGGCACCAGGGTTCATCCCTGGTATTGGCCAAACATTTCGTTATTTATTATAATATTTTTTTAAAAATTGCGTTGAAAGGTACTCATGAAAGGTACAGTCATGAGCGTAAATGATTTGGCACCTTTTTATGCGGGGGAGAAAATAGACAAGGGACGACTAGAGGGAGATGGCAGCCCCTAACATCATCAGGCATTGACCGAAGGACAACCCCCACTTGCTTATGTGAAAATTCACTACTAGGAATTTTTTTTTTGCATTTCGGGGAAGCAAACTCTCAACGATCATGCCATCTGGATGATGTCTGCTGCTCTTTTTGTAAGAATTCTCAATACCCTTTTCCTTGGCTTTCCTTTAGAAAAAGAAAAAGAAAAAATTAACAGGCAAATGATAGGGTAACTTCGGTGCTGGAGAACACAGCAACAAAGCATGAACACTGGATCAGGCATGAAGACCACAGGCTGCAATCTAGCAGTGATGCTTCACATGGTGATTCCTCAAGCTCACTTTGAAAGTAAACTTTTCCCCANCGACATCATTACCTGACTCGAGGAACCGTTGTGGAAAACAGGATTGCAACGCTTTTGCTTTTGAGTAACAATGCACGTGATTGGGAGACAATATCTAGAGACTGTGTGTGTGTGCAAGAAGAATGATCAAGCATCGATTAAAGTGACTATGCAGTACGAGTGTAAAATAAGAGGTCTTACATTGCAGGAAAAATGTTGCTTGGTTTTTGCATGTATGGATAAATAGTGCCAAAAATCACGGAATGTCCTATTTTTACGAGGGATATTTACTTGCATTCAAGTTTCGTGCAACAAAAATTTCTGGAGAATTTCAAGCGATGCAGAAGGAGGTGCATAAGCATACCCACATGCACGGCCTCCTCATGCACTGCATATTTCGTCCAGATGTCCAGTACGTCTATCCATATATCCAGAGGAAGAGCATTGGATGATCTCTTGCAGTCTGAGATCCCACACGAAAGGAAGCAGACAGTATCAATAGGTCTGTGCGGTGCTAACATGAAACGATGTGTCCATATTACCCCAAATCGAGATGGCCATATTTCCCCATATTGGCTCGCATTACAAAATTGACAACACTGCCTACAAACCGCAAGTGAAGGGGCTAGCACTTTGCACAAGCATTCTGGAGAGACCATAGAAGAACTTAGAAGTAATGGTTTCTGTATCCATGCTGCTATTCGGAAGTATACGCTTATGTTGGTCAAGGCTCATATTAGTTCCACGGTCATGAGTCAAAGAATCGTATGCATATGACTTTTAAGACATCGGTGTATCCCGAATTCCTGTGGGAACTGGATTGATGAACAGGTCTAAACATTTCGACAATTGCATGTACTCTTCGACAGAACTATTTTTTAAATTCACCGAAACTAATTATTCAGTCTATAAGGGGATTCCTTGTGAAGGGCCATATTACCCCAAAGGCCATATTCCCCCAAATTACCCTATACATGTCTGTATGCGTGTATCACATGTATGCGACTGGCTTCATGGCATTATTTAGTTTCACCCAGGCCATAACGCAGATTTGTTAATTGACCCACTATAGTGTGTCATGGGACACAATTGAGTGTGTCCGTTGGCACATTCTCTACTCCAGTATGTCAGTTGACTCATAAAACTTCATCTGTAGAAACTTTCATGTGTACAGCTTAGTCAAAGGAGGTTTGTCCCAATATTTTTGGCATCAGTGCACGTGTCCAATGACGCATTATATCGTATCGTTTCTCTGTGTATGTGACTACTTAGTTCCATTTATTCTTGATATGGAAGTGTTGGAAGAGTGTAGTAAGTAATCCTTCAGCAGGCAAGGTCAAAACCATTTTCCAATTTCTTATTCCCATCCCAATCGCCACCACTCTACCCTATCCTATCCTTTCCCTAGGACTCACTGTAACGTTTGGCGAAGAACTAACTCACGAATTATATTCAAGTCAGGCGTTGGTCTGCGTTCCTTCAAGCCCAAGAATTCAACTCTCGAATCACGGAGCCCATAAGACCAATAACCCTATACCCCCTAATTGGGGTTTTCGTGACATCTTGGAAATAACGGAAAACGTTAGACCGTGTGTATCCCTATTCCCACAATCAAAAACCATTTCATGGAGGACTTGTAACATGAGGTCTATGTCTCTCGCGAACGGCCTCGCCTCGAAAACCTGCGGACAGACTGTCTCAGTGTTCGATTGTTTGTGGAACGTTGTCATGGTGATTCAGGGATGTCCGTGCAAGTTGTGTCCATATGGCACCACATCGATCTACCAACTAAAATCACTGTTTCATTCTCCCCTCATGTGAGGAATTTGGAACATCTGCATCGTGCATTCCATGAAATATATATCTTGATTTTACATTCATCTTTGTAGGAGAAAGAAGCAGGAGGACTCATAACAAGGACGAGGCAATTTTGAAGGATTTCTCTCCCCCAAATCCGATTCCATTTCCAGGTTTATTTTTAAATTTCCGTCAGCCTTGTTCCGAGAAAACTCAATTTGAATGAAATTTCAGACTTCTGCTGTGAATCTTAATACAAAAGTTTTCTTATTGTACTTGCTTCCATTGAACTTAATACATTATTCATTACTCCCCGAGTTTAAGAGATTCCCCGTCCCTCTCGGCTCAAACCCATTGCTTCCATTTGGTAAGAAAAATATGTTCGTTTAGTCGGCGTAATTGCTGATTTGGATAGCGAGTCGTCTTCATTGTCACAGTGCACAACGAAACGAATTTCTCCAAACCGAGAAACTTTTGTGGGCTTTGCTCGCAACCACAATCTTGATCGACACACCCTAGGAATACAACCCCCCCCCCCAACGCTTTTTACTGCGTCAACAAAATATCCACTTCCATTTATAATTTCCTGGAGTTTTACATCACATGAGAAAAATCATTTCAGGTGGAAAAGTGCGAAAAAGCGTTGATTTTCACCCGATAAAAGGGCCTTACGTCTCGTGTTCCTGTTGGTGAGGTAAACCCAATTGCGATAACGTTATTACTCCGACACAAGTCTTTTCTGCATTGGCTGTACGCGGTCACGTGATCTCTAACGTCATTCCTAGGCAACGCGAGTGAATCGGGATGGGAAAATGCGAAAATCGTTCATTCAGCTAAGATGAAACGACTTGGCAGGGTCCGGTTCATCCTGCTCTCCCTTCTTTCTCTGAAGACGTCAGGCGGACTCCTCAAGTACTACGCCGTCCATCCAGGTCAAAGGTATGGAAATGCATCAAGGGTAGTTTCGACTCGGCACATGGGACAGTGCAATGTCTTGTGCACGAGTCAAATACCGATTCCCTGCAATGCCTACAACTATCGAAGTTCCGATGGATCATGTGAGCTGATCATGAACGACAAGAGCTCGCTCGTCCCCTCCCAGGGGTATCAGGCTTACGTCCAAAGTGAGTCACTTAATCCACTCATACGATTCACACCTACTCCTGTCGTTTCACCTAGCTACTCTTGATATTCCATGTACTTAAAAGAGATCATTTCAATCCTCTGGTAAACCTCATGTTGCCGTTTGCTTTTGGTCATGAATAAATTTTGCATATTCGTTTTTGTTCATGTCCTACCGCTAAATTCATACCGGTAAGAGTGAGGAAGGAAATCCAGAATTTTGCTCTTTCAGCCTTCCCTCTCTTAATGTATTTTTACTTTCCTTATGTCTTTTTCATTTCCTGGTCACTGAGAGCCCGATAGTCTCAAGCAAACTTTACTCAGATCAGATATGGAATTTCTCATCGAGAGATTCACTTGAGTAGATAGATACATCCTCACAGGATTATCTTCATACAATGGATTAGCAAAGGATATTCATGTTTAATTGCGATAGGGAGGGCTCTCAGAACATTTGAGAGATGAAGGTCTCCGAGTACGGCTCACCATTAACCATAATTAATCCATAGAGTTTTGCTTGACGGAGTACCCCAGAGTGGACAATGCAATGCCGACATACAAGGGATGGGATGGGAAATACCCGGCATCCAGTGGGGCTTACGTGATACTTACCTGCGACCAAGGCTTCACAGATGGGAAGACGGAACATAGGGCCACCTGTTCGGACCTTCCTGATTCTTGGTGCACTTCGTTCCTCCTTGGTGGTGTGACTTGTCCAAAATTTGGTTAGAAATCGTCTTTATAGTCTATTTGCAATATTTTTTTTGGATTTGGTCGTTCTGGTCCCCCTTCATGGTGAAGTATATAAAATACAGGATTCTGGGTCTCAGTATACGTTTTGGCGTATGATAATAATTGATGCAATATTGCCTATCTGGTATGAGTAGGGCACCAAGGTTTGTTCCATGGGCCCATGGAGCAAACCTTGTGAATGGGCCATGAGTAACTGCTCTCGAAATCTCTCCACCACTAAGAAAATCATTACGTTATTTATGTACTGACGTATCTGCGCCTGATTCATGCTTAGTTCGCTTTAATTAAAAATTTAAGTAATTTACCATTTTTGGATGTGCAACTATCAATTGCAGATTCCAGAGTTTTGAAAACAATTCCAACGCTCACTCTTTTACGGATATTTCTGGGATATTTCTTGGCATTGAGGAAAGCTGAGGTGTAAGTTTGTGTGGGTATGTGTAAGAGTAAAATATAATGCAAAAATTTCAAACGTTAGATGAGTAGTTCCGACTTGCCCAGACTTTCTATGCATCTAGTTAATTTTATCAATAATATATAAATAATTTTTTCTTAGCACGGTTAGGGGACGCCTCGACGCGTTACAGTTTGAATATGGGTTTTCTTGCTTTTTTAATTTGCAAAGCTACATTCATTGTTCTTGGTCCGATATCCCTCTCATTTCTGCCAAACCCATATGGCTCTCAGGGTGCTCGGCTGGAAGGTATCCATATCATTATGAGCCTATAGCGGAAGTATTACTGTCTGTGACTGCAGGAGTTTCATGTTACCCTTTATTGGAAGCACCATATTAAAGTTCTTCGCTTGCGAAAATTACTCTTCAGAATAGTTCCTCCTGCTTCATAGGGAAATTGAAATATATTCCAAACGTAAACTTTAGTGAAACCGTGCTTAGCGTATAGGTTGGGTTATTAAAGAAAATGGTAAATGGACAGTCTTCGTAGTGTTAAAGGTATTGCGCGCTAAGTATACTGACTAGTAAAAAGACTTGAAATAAAGGATGAATAGTATGATGTCGGTCTTTCTAAACAGCGGCTCCGATTACTTCAGGATAATAAATCTCGCACTTTTCAGGCGGCAAAAAAGTGTCCCATTATACCCTTCACTCCCCTATGTCTGAGGTTCTTAAACAGGAATTAATTATCACAGCATTGCATGAATAGATAAATCTGCCCCTCGAGATTAATCGCAACGGTCGCAAAAATGCATGCTAACCTCGATCTAATGGACACTTGAAGTCATAGGAAGATGCCATGATGTTCATCAATATTATACTTGTGTTCCGAAATTGGGATTGTAAAAAGGCGTGTCTCGATGAAATTCGATATGGGAAGAAGAGGATGATGGACTCATGGGTATGGCCATTGACATGACCATTAAACCACGCTATGGGTTTTTTAAAACGAATTTTCAACAACTTCTGCTTAATGAAATAATTAAATCGGGTCGGCAACGATTGGGCTATTCCTCTCAAGTAGTGCTGATTGCCTTTTTTGGTTTTTCACAAGAATACCCCGAATGTCGGAAAACTGAGAAGGGAAAGGAATATATCGGGACAATGAAGAAGACCGAGACGGGAAAGGACTGTCTCCGGTGGGATTCCAAGCCTTATGGGAAACCGAAGGACTTCTCCATCGCAATGCTCTATGAAGAGCACTTCCTTAACGAGGATGTGGAATCAGCTGAGAACTACTGCAGGAATCCAGCCCTGAGGGAAAAGCCTTGGTGTTTCGTCTCGGACCCAAACATAACATGGGAATTCTGTGACATTCCGAAGTGCATGAACTTGGGTAAAATCATACGTCACGTCTTTTTGAATCACCCTTTCCCGTCTTGCCACATTCACTCACCTCCTAATATTTTGAAACATTTTACTACCTAGGAACAGGATCCATATGGACTTCGCAAATCCATCTGCCCCGGAATAGCAATAGTAATCAATATGCGAAAGATAGAAATCCATTAATCAATGGGCAATGGTTGCGCGCATTACCTTTCTTCAACCCCTACTGGGGACAAAATTCAACCGTCTCGTATTCCTCTCAAAGAGAATCAACAAGAACGAAATTTGTTATACTTTTTACTCTCTTAACACGAAATCGCTCCAGCAGATTTGAAGCTCCATCCATACGGAATTTTGGAGATCACTGTATCGCCCATTTCAGAATTGTGAATTTCGCACCGGTATTTTGTTTTCTCCCCCCCTGAGTAGCCTCTCCTGGGAATTTCTTGGAGGAAAGAGACTACCGAGTGAAGGATATTGAATTTTAGTTGGCAAAAAGTGTCCTTTTATGCTTCCAGTGCACAATTTTGCCATAACAAATGAAATTATATGCCATCAATTCAAATTCAAAGTGGCTGAGGTCTGTTGATTTGCCCATTCTGCAGTCAAAACATACACACCAAAGCAGGGCTGCCTGCTTTAGGTCACAACCTAACCTATCTAACCTAGGTTAGGTTATGCTGTAGCTGCATGGAAAGTTGAATATAGGGGTATCTGTAGCTTTGTGGACATTGAGTGTATGGACGATCGTGACTGACTGACGGACTGACGCTAATTCTAACCATGTTCTAGAAGGGTTAGAAATCTAAAAATTTTTACGCATGTACATTTTGGGATGCCGTAGTTCAGAAAAAATCCCACTTTGGTAGTACATGCCCTGGGGGTACACATTTTGGGGAAAACGTTTTTCTTAAATATATTTTGTGACAGATGAGGATGGCATTCAGAAAGCCATTGGCATATGTTGGGTTCGATGGGGTAGTAGTAGCATTTCTAGCTGGGAAGCAGAAGGTCCGGGTTCAATTCTCGCCCATTCCTTGGCTCTCTCTGGGCCTTCCATGTCCCATTACTCACTCCCCCTCAATCACATTAATTTTGCTTCAGTACAACGGAAAGACATGGAAAGCTGAAACTTCCCAAGCAGCATGTTCACGTAAACAATATATCAATTTTTTGCAATTTTTTGGTCACAGCTATCCTTGATTTCCTTGACAAGCCGAGGCTTGGACAGCTCACTGGATATAGAAAATTACTTAAGAGGCTTTCATCTGTCTGCTTGAAGAGGAGTGGGAAGACCTTGTGACCTAGAAAATGTCTCCTACTCAAAAGATCAGTCACAGTCTCTGGAAGGTTGATTATTGTTTGTTGCCAAGCTCCATTAGGGTTTTAAAAAAAATTGGAAATGATCATTCCACCCTTTGCCCAGAGTAAGCCAATCTGAATCTTGAAGTTTCTCAAGGTGCTAAAATGTCGTATCTTTAGCCATCTGGATAATCCCGTTGCAACCTATACATAATTAAAACACAGTCCACCACTGTCTCTACCTGCAGCGATTCATTCAAGAGAAAAGGGTAATTCTGGATATGCTAGAGGAGGAGGGTCGGTTGAATTCTATCCTCTCAGTCTGTGAAAGATCTGTTGGGTAGTCGGCAAATTAGAGGTTAGAAAATTCCTCACACCATTCGTCTCAATTGTAATAACCTACAACAGATCAACCATCAGAGACATATGTCTCTTCATGATGAGAGTAAAAATGGTGCATTGCACCTGAAAGTGCTTTGGTTTCAGAACTTATTGACCTCCCCTCTTACGTCATGCTTTCCAAAACATTTTCTTCCTGAAACGAGTCGAGACGGTTCGGGGATAAGTGGATAGGCTAATGTTCCCCGACCGCACTGAAACGGTTCCTGAAACTCGAAAAAGACATACATTCAGTCTAAAGTTACACGTTCTCAGTTGCTGTATATGGGCCATGAGAAACAGAATAGGCCTATTATTGGCCTAGGGTTACTCGTCCTCAAAAGAGGTGTCTCGTAGACCAGGGATTGTTCCTTATAGGCCTAATTGGTTCGTAGGTGTAGGATTGAGTTTCTTTTGAACGAAAAAAGGCATGTCTAAGCCTGACCCGAAGACAATCCTTTGGTTAGGCCTGGGAGTAACGAAAATTTTCACGATTGAAATTAAGCGGTAAAGAAGTAAATTCAACATTTTAGAATTGAATATGAAACATTTTCTCATCCGATTTAATCAATTTTCTAATTTATTGTTTAGTTCACTTATTTCCTTTGAGTTCAAATTTTCGCAAAATAAAAAGTTGCCGCGATGGTTTCTGTGATCTGCCATGTACTAGACATGTTCATTTTATGCATTTCTCATATAAAACTTTTGAAAAAGAATGGTTGACACCCCCACGGCCAGTGCCTTCAAGAATCCTCCTACCAGTCACTAGTAAGCTTTATTGGAATTATGCGTAAAAGGTCTTAAAAGGGTGCCAAGAAAAGCAGTAAAATGTATATGGTATATGAGGAATGTTCACCGAAACGCTTCCCAATCACCCAATTTAAGAATAATTTCGAATTATCCACCCTCGTGAAGAGTTCATATTCCAAATGTTCATAAACTGCCTCTGAGTGTTCGTTTTCGGTGACTTATACGGTCTTCATTCCCTCTTTCAAATAGAATGATTCATAGGTTGTAAAACTTTAACCAATTTCCTGACACGCTCCTAAAGGGTCGTGTCTACCGGTATTGCTGAATTCCTTCTTCTTGCTGCTATTTGACAATGAGAAGTCCTCAGCGATGGAAATAATATTTTTACAAAGTTGTAGGAACTAGATTGATGAACCATGATATTCCAAACGACATATGATATGTACTTAAGATGAAGAAAGTACGACCAATGATGTGAAAATCTACTTTAATCAAATTTACTGCATATATTGTGCTAGTGCTATATAAAACGATCAGAGTTTCAGGGGTGAGGGAAGAATATACAAGAAGGGAATTTAAAAATGTCTAAAATGTCAATAGCAGTCGTAACAGTAATTCATACTGTTCAAAATGTTCCCCAAGCAGGGTTTTCCGGATCAAAGGAGACATAGAAACTCTTAATGTTGTATACCCAAATTGTCATGAACACTGACGTGTATGTATTTCTTCTAGTTCCCTTGGAGTGCAAACTGTCTCAAAAGGGAGCGGAGTACATGGGGATAAAAAGCAGGACTCTTTTGGGTATGCCATGCATGCCCTGGTTGGAACTTCCACTGTCGCTTCAATATCGACGGTGGTGCCTAAGGCTCCCTGCATTCTCGGATGAGGTGAACGAGGAGCACAATTATTGTAGAAATCCCGGGGGTCGTCCTGCTGGTCCTTGGTGTTACTTTGGAGATGGGGTTGACGATTGGGGATACTGCGACGTCCCGTTTTGTCCTCAACTGGAAAAAAAAGCCGGTCAGTTTCTTGAAATTTTGCCAGAAATCAAGAAAGAACAGAGAGGAAAGCATGGACTTATGTTAGATTAAGGTTTTAGACAGTTCGAAGAAATTGTCCTCCATGTAAATGCTTCATGCCAAAGGCCTGCCTGAAAAGTAAAGAACAGTAGGAGCTCGCTAATTCGCTCAAGACACCATTCTCCTTGGATTTGACATGGGAAACCGGTAGCTTGATTGGCCTAAGTTGAGCTAAATTCGAATTATTTCATACAAATAAATACATTTCTCGATTGTTAGATTCTTAACAAATATGAAAACTTCAATGACATTGTCAGTTCATGTGATATCAAAGTAAATATAATCAGTCGTCGTGAACGCTATAGTATAAAGTGTAACGACAAAAGTCGCGATTCATTGACGTTAAGATGAATCCCCAAATGCTGAAAATTTCTTCAAATACAGGGTTTTCCTAAAGTATTTTCCCTATTTTGAACGCAAATTAAAAAAAAAACTAATATGCATACTAATATGCAGTTTGCACCATCGTATAGCCAAAGAGTTTTTATTGACATTTCTTTTGACTTCCACATCTGTTCCATTATTTGCTATATGCATGTCCTACCTATATTCCAATTGCAGTCCACGTTCGCTGCAATATGCCCACAGTCACACTATGATGGAGTCCATTAACCTGGGGCTAGTTCCTTGTTTTTTGCAGAATTTAAATCTCGATCTTAAAATTTGGATTTAGATTAAAATTTACATTTATATTTCCATTTACACTTATACTAGCGGCTTGCGACCGCTACGCTGGCCATCTAATAGGTGGAAATTTGAACCGTCTATTGTGAGCATAATGACTCCTTGACAATCCTCTGTTCACCTCATTCGGAACTGAACCGCTTCATTACATGTATACCCACTTATACACAGTATGTATACATGTATGTATGTATATGTATATGTATGTATGTATGTATGTATGTATGTATGTATATGTATACACAGTGAGATTCTGTTCCTAAACACCATCATCATGATATTCCGGCTAATTGCCACAATCGTTCATTGTGAACGGTTTAGCACGTTTTCATGAGACTCAAGACGACTTTGCTGATTTCGTCTCCCTAGCACATTCAATACTCTTGCATCACCGATTAGCTCATGTGCTATCAGCGTTAGAATATAGTACGGACGCCAATGATTCTGAAACAGTACGGTCCATTTCGAAGAACTTGTTCGAAGGCACAGAGGGAAGTTAGTGCATGTGCGGCACAATGCTAGCGAATAATTCTTGAAAATGCCTCGCCACCACATTACCATGAGGCTCTGAAAGTGTTGCTCACTGGTGCTAAAGTGTGAGTTGCAGCAGGAGTATTTTTCCGTTGTAAAACAAATGCCTCCTCCCAACATCAAAATGTACAGCCTGACAGTGCTTGCTGCACAAACGACCATAGTGATTTGAGATGACATGGAGAGAACTAACAAAATGTCCCGAATTCCGTGGTGTAATGGTAGCACACCTGACCAGCAAGCAGGAGGACCGGGTTCAATTCCCGGCCGCCCCCCGGCTTACGACACCTGAGTGCTACGTTCCTTGCATTAAGTTGCTCAGCATTCGCTGCCTTTTGCTGTTCAGCGGTCCTACGCACATCTGCTTGATGTTCATCACTGATTCTAGCCATTACGGCTAGCACCGCATTAGGCACTTCGCACCTCAACTGCAGTGGCAAACGTTGTTTCCGCGCCAGCACCAACCGTTTTTTACCAGCAACAACTGCCTCATCGCCGTCCTGTGGGACCTCCTCAACATTTCTCATTCGCGCAAAAATCGCCACCATTTTGATGGGAAGTGCACCTCGTTTGCGCGACATATGAAGAGAGACGTTTTATACTATTATTTTGACTTTGAAACGCAAACAGAAAAAAAAACACTTGAACAAAGAATGTATTCAAATGAAGAACTTGCAGTCGATCAGTGAAAACGTGACATTCATTCAGATATTACCACCCTTTGACACAGCGAAGTATGAAGCCTCCGGCCCAGACCGATATAGTTCGATGGACCTGGCGCTTTGAGGGGTGGATGGCCTTTGGCCCGAAGCGACATTGTCTCGCCTCGCGCGCTGGGGTGACATCCATTCGCGACAATTCTTGGGTCCTTCGAATTAAAGTATGAGATGAAAAAAATTGAATTTTCGAGGAAGAAGGGAGGACGAATTCCTTCGGTGCGGCGGGGACTGGCAGAGGCGAACGGCGGCGGGATCCTCTTCCCGCGAGGAAGCGGAAAAAAATATATATAATGCGAAATTATCACGAAATTGAATAAATTCTTATCAGCCTACTCTTCGTTTTAGAAAGCACTCCGATTCTCTTCCTGCAAATTCGACACTTCTTTTTCCAAATTTGGCACCTCCTCTACATCATCAGCATCTTTTATTTTGGTCCTAAAGGTTCACGAAGACTTTGAAGGACATCGGCGACCCTTCGGCGACTCCTCGGCAACCCCTCGGCAACCCCTCGGCGACCTCTCGGCAGCCTCCCCGGAGAATTTTGGAGTCTATCAAAATTCCTTTTTTTTTTGTCGCAACTTGAAAACGTTGGTCCACCATGTTTGACGAACCATATCGTCTTCGCAGCCTCATTATCTTTAATTACTCGATTAATTTAATTAATCGAAATCCAACGATTTGCATCACCGATTAGCTCATGTGCTATTAGCGTTAGCATATAGTACAGACACCAATGATTCTGAAACAGTACGGACCATTTCCAAGAACTTGTTCGAAGGCTCAAGGGGAATTTAGTACATGTGCGGCACAATGCTAACGACCAAATCCAGAAAATGCCTCGCCACCACATTACCCTGAGTCTCTGAAAGTGTTGCTCACTGGTGCTAAAGTGTGAGTTGTGAAACAAATGTCTCCTCCCTACATCAAAATGGACAGCCTGACAGTGCTCGCTGCGCAAACAACTGTAGTGATTTCAGATGACATGGAGAGGCCTGACTAAATGTCCCGAAATCCGTGGTATGAGAGTAGCACACTTGACCGGCAAGCAAGAAGTCCGGGTTTAATTTCCGGCCGTCTTCCACTTCCGGCCAACTTCCGGCCACGGCTTTCGACACTTGAGTGTTGCTTTCCTTGCATCAAGTTGCCAGCAGGCTGCATGTCTCTCCTATTCCTGAGCTCAGCATTCGCTGCCTCTTGCTGTTCAGCCTTACGCTCCCAACGTGCAACAGGGTATTGTTCATCAATCATTCTAGCCACTATGGCTAGCACCTTTTAAAGCACCGATTTAGGCACTTCGCACCGCAATTGCATTGGTAAACGTTGTTTCCGCGCCAGCACCAATTGTTTAGTATCTGCAGTGACTGCCTCATCGCCGTCCTGTGGGACCTCTTTCAACATATTTTTTTTCACGTTCAGCCTTACCTCGCAAAAATCGTCACAATTTTGATGGGAGGAACGGCCCGTTGCGCGACGTATGAAACAAAGAACTTACGTCATTATTTTGATTTCATCAATCATGAGAATTGAAATAAATTCACCATTACATAAAACGCAGAGAACAATTGCATGGAAGTGATGTCCCGAATCGCAATGCCTGACCTAACGGAAATAAATAAAGAAAAAACTTTGACACAGCTAAGTACGAAGTCTATGGCTCAGACTGATATAGCTCAATGGACCTAGCGCTAAAAGCGTTGGACGGCCAAGCCTATGGACTCGAATACCATAGCCTCAAGAGCCTGGCGCTTTGAGGGGTGAGTGGCCCAGCCTATGGCCTGAAGTGACATAGTCCCGTAGGCCTCGCGCGCTGGGGTGACAACCACCACATCTCTCGGGCTCTTCTATTCAATAATTAAAGTATATGACGGCATGGAAAGGCGCTGCCTTGTAGGCCTGGCCCGTGACCCAGAATGGCATTGCATCGTAGAACCGCACGTGGAGGTGACAGCCACGACCACCACCACCACCACCACCACAACTTTTGACCTCTTCGAATTAAAGTATTAGATTTCCATTTAAATTTAGATTAAAAGTTAACATTTATATTTACATTTAGATTTAAATTAAAATTTACATTTATATTTACATTTAGATTTAGATTTAAATTTACATTTATATTTACATTTAGATCTAAGTTAAAATTTAGCAAAGGCGAGGAACTAGTGCCTTGTCTTGTTGTGTTGTTACGATGCTTGCTATACGTGTGCAACAAACGAAATCTTTCACAATACCTAACAAGGAAAAAGTATAATGGGGTCATGTACGACGAATGTGGAAGTCACGGAAATGGATAATCCAGGCCAATCTATAGTCCCGGGAAACTTCAGGTCCAGGAATCGCCTGACCAGCAACAACCATCCTAAAGAAAGATGAATTAAGGTTGTATTTCCTCCTCTTGTGGGGCTACAAATTGCTCCTATAGTAAAAAAAAAGCAGCGCGGAACTACAGACCAGGATAACGGACGCTATCGCCAGGGTGACAGTGGACATATTCCAACGAACGTAGACTGAAATTGAAATATCGGTTGTACATGTAGGAACCACTAACGGAGCAGATGTGGAAGTCTGCTGGCGTCAATAATAACTCTTTCCGTCAGGCTACAAGATGGTGCAAACTGCATTTTTGCATGCTAGTTAGTCATTTTTATTGCTCAAAATACGGATGATAATTTAGGAACACACTGTATAGCAAATTTTGAATGAGAAAGCTAATGAGCTAATACCTGATATCTCCTCAGCAGATATGAGTCGAAAAACAAGGGCGACTTACCCTGATTGTCGGAAAACGGAAATGGGCAGGGAATATATGGGCAGGATCGGGAAAAGCGAAACGGGAAAATCTTGCCTGTATTGGGAAGATTTCGTGGAAATCACGAAGTTACCATATATAATGGTCAAGCACTTGCCATTGACGACCTCAGAAAAGATTGCCTTCCGCGACCTCTTCACAAATTTTACTCCCAGAGCCCAGTTGAACTTCTGTCGGAATCCAGGATCGGGGCAGAGGCCATGGTGTTTCGTCTCAAAGACCCCTACCATCGAATGGGAGTACTGCAGCGTTCCTTTCTGCGACGACCTGTGTGAGTTTTTCGGATGCGTGATCACAACCGGAACGGAGGAATATTCGTTGTTTCATGTCTTGCTTTCCATATTAATCTAGTTGTAACTGTTTCTTTGGAGAAAAAGAGAATCTTACCTAGTATGTAGTTATGTTGGTGGCACTTTCAGCTGCTCACAAACAATTAGAAAAATTAAAATGCTCATAGTGACAGGTGGTTGTTTGTTGACTATGGTAACGATGCAACATGATGTTCATAGGTTGACTTGTGTTTTCTGAACCATCTATAACGGTCGATTTGATGCTCCTACATCTTATCAATAGTCTGACATCTCATTCTCCATACCACGAGTTTCCTCTTTTGCACGAGGTGCATCTAGAGGTATCTACATGGCTGGGATATATGCAATGGAATGTCACCAATTTCGATCGTCTCCTTCATCTTCTTCAGGAAAGTTCTTGTTGAAGCAAAAAGGTGACTGGAACCCTTTGTTTTGATGCACCTGAACGAGATTGATGGCATTTTGGGGGCAGACCTTGACATTTATCGATAATGCAGTTGATAATATCCACGGACGCTCTAACTTTCGTGGCTATGAACCTTTGGGTTGGAGGATATTGGATCTGTCAGACTTTGTTGAAGATGGTCTTGATGCACCTCCCAAGTGACCCAATACATTTTTGGTTTTTGCGCTTTCGTCTAACTCCTGTACGTGTTTTATGTACCCAGGTTAGAGAATTATGGGTCCTTTTCACTGAGACGCTTAAGTCTTTCTTCTTG